CCCCCCCCCAATCCAGGCTTGGGGCTTGGTCTCCCTGGGAGTCAGTTCCGACAGTGAAGGTTACTTGACTAGATGCATGATTTTAAACGGAATCTCCACCATCTGTTCCACCCCCTAATTACAGATGCACAGAATCCGCCTCAGAGGGCAGCACGAGGGGAGTGATTTAGAGGCTGAGCTGCTTCTGCCCGCATTAGGGCTGGGGAAATCGGGGGGCCTCTGGGTATTGCTCACAGCCGCCCCCCCAATACCATCTCTTTCCCAGGAGCTTCTCGTGCCACATCTGTTGCTGGAGGAAGGCTCTGAGAAAGGTTTCCCTGACCCCCAATACCTGACAGATGCAGCAACTGCGATGCTGAGGGAGGGGTCCCCCAAGACACCCGCTGTGTCCCAGGCCCCAAGTCCTAGGATGCAGGCTCCATTAGAGCCTTGAAAAATTCAGTGGATCGATCTCCTGCCTGCCTCTTGTACCCTGGGGAGCCACAGGCGCTGGCCCAGCTGTCTGCCCACCCCAGGGGTAGCAGGGATTGGTGAGGTAGGGAGGGGCTGGTCAGAGCTGAGTGGGGGCAGCCAGGTTCTGGCAGGAGAGGACACGGCCAGGCATGCCAAGATCCCCCAGTGTGTTTGCACGTATCTGCTCATCCACCTTGGCACAGCGGGCATGCCTGACCCTAGCTTCAGCCATACTCTGTGGGGCTGGACCAGTACCAGGGGCTAGAGGGGATGGGCTAGGGCCTGGGCCTCAGAGGGTTCTGAGGGGCATGGGGCTACACCCTGAGGACGGGTTCTCCTTTGTCCATGGGCACCAGCCTGCTTGGTGGTGGCATCGGCAGGCACACTGCGGTGGAGCCTGGAGCATTCACTTCTGGGAGAAAGGGAGCGAGGTTGGGCTGGAGGAATTTTAAAGACTGCTGCAGGCAGGAGGGTCTCTGGAACCCCGCGGAGCAGGCAGTCATGCAGAAGTAATCCTATCGCCGCCTGGCTGGAGGAGTGGAGAGGATCGGGCGGGAGAGGAAGGATGGGTTGCTGCCCCTCTCCCACCTCAGCCCCTGCCCTCGCCAGCCATGGAGGGAGCCAGGGACCGTAGGGACCTTCCCTGAAGAGGCACCTTGTCTTCTCCACTCCACTGTGGCATGTGCCCCCTGGAGGGGCAGCACTGCAGCTGTTGCTTAGCTCCAAGCTCTGGGTTTTATAAATAATGCAGCTCCGAGGTGGGGGCCAACTCAGCCCCAGTCACCTTGGGTCACCCCGTGTGATGTCTCCAGCTGGCAGTCCTGTGGCAGAGCCCCCTCCCTTCCAGCCTACGCTTCCCCTTTTGCTGTGTGAGCTAGTGCCAGAGGCCCAGCCTCTCTGGGCTGGGCCAGGGGCAAAGGAGTGTGGAAGAACCCAGAAACTCCTGTCCCTTTGTCCCACCTCCCAGCCCTCACAGGTTAACTGGCATCTGGCTCGTGCGAATTCAGGCTGGAGAAGGATGACCTGCTTTCAGGGGCCTCACCCACCCCAGCCCCTCCATTTTGCAGATGGAGTAACCGAGTCCAAAGAGGGAAGGATGGCCAAGGCCAAGCAGCTGATGAACACCTCCTTCCTGCCCCATTCTGCTGTCACTCAGGCTCTTCTCAGCTCAGCTCAGCTAAGAGCAGGGCTTGGGGGGGATGTTTGGGAAAGTGGTTGCGGGCTGAGAGGTTGCCATGGCGATGCTGCAGGATGCTGAGCTGAAGTGGGGGTCCTACAGGGTCTCTGGGGCCCCCAGCTCCACACCCCTGTGGTCTTCTCCTCCCCATCTCCTGCTCCCCACCCAGATGCCTGTCAGGCAGTTCTGGAGACAGGCTGGGTGGGTGACAGGTGGTGCAGGTGATGGGCTGGGTGGGTGACGAGCTGGGTGGGTGACAGGTGGTGCGGGTGCGAGGCAGGCAGGTGACAAGCTGGGTGACGGGCCCTGCTGATGACAGGCAGGGGGTGTGATTGCCGAGGATGCTGTCTCCCGGCTGGTGGCCTGTTGCAACTCCCCACCCTCATGCGTGTGCACAGACATAGATTCTGGGCACAGAGCTTGGGGCTAAGATACTAATGAGGCTTATTATGTGCAGAGGGGCAGGTGCCCAGGCTCACTAATGAGAGTCCTTTAACGAATAGGGGAGGCAGCTGGGGGCTTCGAGGAATTCGGTTGGCCCTTCTGGGCTGAGACCCTGGGGGTCCCGATCTGGCTGGAGGATGAGCCATTCCCCCCCTTACCTTGGCCACTTGGGTTTATGCGAGCACTACCCACAGTCGTGATAACTAGCACTGTGCAAATGCTTGCTATACGGTGCCCAGCCCTTACGTGCATTTTCTCATGTCAACTTAACAGTTGTAGGCGGGAGGCACTGTTACCCATTTTGCAGATGAGGAATCTGAGGCTGAGAGAAGACAAGGGACCTCACATAACAGGTTTCTGGAATTTTAATCCAGGTCTTTCTGTTCTTTCTACTCTTATTAAAAAATATATATTTTATTGATTTTTTTTACAGAGAGGAAGGGAGAGGGATAGAGAGTTAGAAACATCGGTGAGAGAGAAACATCGATCGGCTGCCTCCTGCACACCTCCCACTGGGGATGTGCCCGCAACCCAGGTACATGCCCTTGACCAGAATCGAATCTGGGACCCTTCAGTCCGTAGGCCGAGCTCTATCCACTGAGCCAAACCAGTTGGGGCTGTTCTTTCTACTCTTAACCACCAGCTAAACTGAGGCCTTGGTCCAGACCCAGACACTCTCTCAGAGTGGCAGCTTCTCTTTTCTGGAAAATGGATGCATAGCAAAGGGGTAGCCACCACAGGTTCTTCAGCCACTTGGGTGGCTTCAGGGACTTTTTCCAGGTAGCTGCTGCAGCCTCACCCCATCTGGCCCAGATTCTGGGTGACACCCCTGGACTAGAGAGAGGGCAGGGCTTAGTGCTGAGGGAGCTGAGATGAAGGGGGGTGGGGTGGGGGGGACACCTGGGATTTCTGAGCCACTTCCTGCTTCATGCAGTGGGGAGGCCTGGAGAGGAGCAGCAACCGCCCAAGCTCACACACCCTGTGAGCGGTAGGGCCCCATGGGATCCCAGGTCTCCTTGCCTGTTGAGAGGGCGGGGCTGGGTGTGGTACCAGAGCTGGGAGGTACCTCCTCCTGGGCCCCACCCACCAACCTAGCTTCTTCCCTGGAGGTTGTGAGCCCTCAGCCCTGGGAGGGTGCAGGGTACAGGGTGCTGTTACTACCTCTAGGGCCATGCCCCCTCCCCATCAATCTGGGCTCCTAGTGTCAGTTGAGCCCCTCCTTTTGGAACTCATTGGGGTGGAAACTCCCTAGCAACAGCTGATGGATGGGTTAGGGCCTTGATATTGGCCTGGGGCCACAGCATGACCCTGGAAGGACCAGGCTGGTGCTGGGGGGCTTGGAGGGGAATTTAAGGGAAAAGAATTAAGGTCATAAATCTTGGACCCGCTCAGTTTTCCTCCTCCTCCACCTTAATCTCTTACCAAACCTGCCCCCCAGCTGCTCATCCAAGGCCGGGGGCGTTAAGGGAGTCCACCCGCCATTCCCCTCCCTCAATTTCAGAAGTGCTCACCCACTTCTGAAATTGCACACTTGCACCCCTGTGGGGAAGGGAGAGGGCAGCCACTGGAGTTGGGTAGGATAAAGACCTGGTGTGGCCAAGACTGGATGTGACCTGACTCATAGTGGTAGATAGGGCTTCGAGGCCTCCGTTTCCTCAACCTGGGGTTTGAAATTCTCTCCTGGTACCTGTCTGCTCATTCAGGAAGGAGCACTAAGACCAAGAGGGATTGCGCAGCTGCAGGACACATGGCCCTGTCTTCAGAAGCCCCAGTCTGAGAGGAGCACAGCCTTGGCCTTGGGAGCCCTCAAACCCAGAGGTGAGGTCTAGAATCCAGGCTGGGTGTGTGCTGAGGTTCAGGCGGGAGGGTGGTGCTGGGTGGTTGGCCTTTGATGGATTTCTGAAGCAGAGGCTGAGGCTGGGGGGAGGCCAGGGGAATGGTAGTGGTTTGCCTGGGGGCTGGGGAGCCATCTTTGTTTGGGAGCAGGAGCCTTGGAGGGTCTGGCTTTCCCACAGGCCTGGGCAGCAGCAGGCGAGAGTTCTGGGGCCCTCCTAGCTCCGCAGGGAACTGACTGCTGCCTGGCCCTGGGGACCCAGGCATCCTGGCGGGTGAGGGCGGGTCTCCAGCAGGCGCCCTGCCAAACCCTGCAGCCTGCTCACCAGGAATCTTGTTGCTGAGAGATGGAAAATCCCGGCTGGGCCTGCAGCTCATCCCTCCCCTCCGGGAGGAGGAGGGGCCCAGAGAGTCCTTCCTGTACCCCCCTCCCATCTGGGGCAGGGCCCTCGGCAGTGGGTGGGGCTGGGGGGCCCAGGACAGGCCTCTAAGGCTTGGTCACATGTCCTGGAGCCCGGCCCAGCCCGCAGTGGGCACTAGGGCACTCTGGAGGCAGAATGGGCCTGGTGCAGCAGAGGAGGGGTAAGGGTGGGGTGCTGAGACCAGAGTGGGCCTGGGTGGGGGCCCATGCCTGGCCCTGGCCCCACTGGCTCCCCCAGGGTGGAGGGTGAAGAGTTGGTTCTCTCCTTGGACAGGAAGACGAATGATCCCATTATGGGAGCGTGATTTTATTCCACGTGTCATGGAGTCTGAGATTAACTTGCTCACCAGTCTGTGACAAACCCCTCACACCCAACACACACACACACACACACACACACACACACACACAGGCACAGAGACAACACATATCCTTGGTCTCACAAGCATATATCCCACAGATACAGATAACAATTTTCCTACTACAGTACATGGCAGAGTCTCCCACACAGAGACACAAGCACATACTGACACTTAGTTACACTGAAATCTAGACCCACAGCCTCAAAGCACAACATTCCCCCATTCACGCTAAGGCCACGTGGACGCACAAATACACAGGCATCCAGGGGGATGCTCGCAGCCCTGCTTAGACATGCACAGATCAAGGACACACAGTACCCCTTAGACACAGACACACTTAGCCACGCACAAAACAGACACAGTCATGCAGACAGGCATAGACCAACAGCCACACACACGGAGACAAAGGCCTAGATACATACGGAGACAAAGGCAGGCACAGACACACAGCGGCAGTTCGCATACAAGCACAGGCGTGCACACCCGGACACAGACAAAGACAAATAAATGCCCAGAGGTTTTGCTGTGGACAGATGTAAGGCGCACACACATCTGGGCTTCCTCCTCGACCTCCCTGCCTGGGGATATGATAATCTGGTGCCTGTGGTTCCAGGAGGAACACTGAGGAATCTTCTGCTCAGTCAGACCCCCCCACCCTGGGCCCAGGGCCAGCCCCCACCTCTGGCACTGGGCCCGTGACCGCGGCCATGGCAGCCACACCCTCAGCAGAGCCCTGACATTTCTTACCTTACCCTCCCCATTGGACGCTCTCACAGGCACACCATCTTCTTCTGCACATGTTCTTAGCACTCCCACAGACCCACACACTGAAATATCTCACCCACACCCCCCTCAGGTGTCCCCTTATCTTTCTCACTCACCCCCCCCAAGTAGACATAGACAGTCTGCAGCACATACACTCTGCCTTCGTGGCATGCGCCCTTACCTTCTCTTACACGGACCCCCACACGGATAATACACATTGGCTCTCCACACCCTCATCTCTCACGGATCGTCCCCGCACACATCCATGCCCTCCTTCATGTACCTCCTCACCTTCTCTTTCACAGACTAATTCCCAAATGCAACACACACACACACACACACACACACGCATCCTCACCACTTTCTGACACATGTGCGCACGCACACGCACAGAAAACCTCCCTCACACCATCACTGTCTCTCACAAACGCCCCCCCCCGCCAGACGTGTGCTCTGCGGCAGAGCGGCCCAGGCAGCATCTGTCCCTGCTCCCACTGCGTCCTTGGCCTCGCTGGCCTCCGCCGCTTCCCCTCCACCTCCAGCCCTGCATTCTGTGGCCTTGTCATCTCTCTGTTTAGTCAACAGTTATATGTGGATCATTCACTTATTCATTCAACAAATGTTGATCGAGCATTGATTTTGTGTTAAGCTCTGGGGATACTGTGGTGACTCAGGCCCTTCCTTCATACAGCTCTCAATTTTGTGACCAGTTCTGTCTGTTGCTTGACTAGTATGATTAGATGCTAAGGTAGCCTTTGGTCTTGGGATGTTGAAGAATGTGTAGGAAAAATACGGGAAGGGTCTTCCAGGCAGAGGAAAGAGCATATGCAAAGCCTGGAAATGAATCAAACTATTATTTAGGGGTAGGCAAAGGTAGGTCTACACTTGTGAGTACATGAAACGGTTAATAAAGCTATTGTAATCACCATAACCTGCGTATCTTTTTCCATATGAACAACTGTCAACCTACTTTTGCCCACCCCGGTGTGCTGGGAAGATGGGGCGATGTGCAGAGACTAGAAGAGACGCTGCAAAGAAAACAGGCCGGGTGTCCCCGAGTTTAGACACTAGGCCCAGCGGTTTGGCTCTTGTCCAGGGGGCCACAAGGAGTCACGGGAAGTCTTTAGTGACAGGATAGGGTGGGGAGAGAACGGAGGCAGGGAGGCTAGCAGAGAGGCTTCAGTGGTACAGATGGGAGAGGAGGGTGGTCCGACCTAGAAGAGGCAAGCAGGATGGAGGAGATTCGTTTAGAAGCAAGAACCGGTGGAGTTCCAGCTCCTGAGCTGTAACCCTGGACAGAGTCCCATAGACTCTGAGCTGGGTCCATCACGTGAGCCTGGGACAGTGCAGGAATCAGGCTTATAGTAAATGCTTAATAAGTGATAGCCAATTGTCAGCGATCAGTAGGACTCGGGGAGACATCAGATGAGGAGATTGACGGAGCACCTTTTGAGTGCTGGGTAGAGTGCCAGGTGCTGGGCCCAAAGGCAAGATGGTCTGCAGCTTCTGGAAGCTCATGCACTGAAAACCACAGCTCACGCAGGCAACAGGGAGGCCAGGCATAGGAGTGGGAGGGAGTAAGCACCCTGGGCTCTCTGGGTGGCTCACGGAGGAGCAGGCGTTGAGTGGGACCCTACAGAGGCTGTCGAACTTGGGCAGGTAGAGGTAGGGGAGGAGCTTCGGGGGGAGGGAAGCATGTGAACAAGAGCTTAAGGGCAGGTTGATGAGTCTACCGTGGCTCTTGGGTTGTGGGACACAAGAAGGGGGAGCTGGGAGTTGTGGGGTGGGATTAGGAGGCCAGGCTCAGAGAGATGTCAGCACGGAGCGGAGCTACACCCTAGAAAATACCATGGTGTGTGTGTGTTGTTTTTAATACCACGCTTTGGTGGTGACATGGAACATGCCCATTAGACGTTCTGCTCCAGGCTTTGCTACTAAGCCATTGGACGAGGGCAAACAAATGCCTTGGCCCTCCTTGGTCTCAGTGTCCCCATCTGTCCAGTGAGGCAGTTGGTCTGGTATAGGGTGTGTCATGTCTGACTCTGGGCATCTTCTGGCCCGGGGTTCGAGGCCTCAGCAGTGCTTTCTTCCTGCGCATTCTGAGGAAAAGGAAAGAGCAAAGTGAGGGGTTTCCCGGAGATAGGTTGTGGGTGCTCCAAATGAGGGGCCTTTGCCAGGATCTGACTCCAAGCCCCAGCAGGGATCCTGAGAAGGCAGAGCCCCACTTCCCTTCTGTCCTGACCCGTGTGATTGTAGATGTGGGCCATGTGCCTTCCTACCCACTGACCAAGGAGCAGGGCTTGGGTTCAGGAATCGGGGGAAGGAGCCAGGAAGCCAACCTTGGGGAGACAGAGCCAGGTGAATGCCGGTTGGTAGCTGGGTTCTGCCCCTGATGTCCGGGTTTGACGGGAGCTGTGGTGTAAGGCAGGTTCCGGTGACCCCCCTGGATCCTGGCTGCAAGGGGCCCTTTAAGCATCTTACCTGTGAGGTGGGGCTGGTAGAGAATTAATTTCCTGTGCTATTTTAATTTTGCTGTATTTAATTTGCTGTTTATTTTAATTAATTAACGGCAGGTAATCGTTTCTCGTAACTTGCTGCCGCTGGCTCCTCTTCCTTTTCAGAGGGGTGGAAGGCCAGGCCAGCTGATTGCTGAGTGAGCCGTGAGGAGAGGAAGGGCCTCGGGGACATGTCCCTCTTCCCCTTTGCCTCTCCTCACCCAGGAGTCTTATCCACTCTCCCCGAGTGTCTTCCAAAGGGGCCCTCCCCTCCCCTGCCCTCACTTATGGTCCCTCCTGCTCCTCCCCCTCCACTCCATGCCTGCTTCAGGGTCTCAGATGCAGTAACTTGGTGAAGGGAGGCCTGACATGAGACCCCTGCCTCCTCCCCGGTAATCAGTATTTTAATCATAGGGTGGTGCTGTAAAAAGGGCAGGGAGCTTGGCTTGTAACCTAAGCACTGGGTAGGGGCTGTTGGGAAAACTTTAAAAGTGAAGGTCAGTGTTTAATGGCAGCTTCCTTTCCTACCCCATTGCCCAAACAGCAAGCCCATCCGTGTGGTCAGGCCTGTGGGACACTACTTTGTCCAAGCACCTGAGAACACATCTGTAGGCATGATTTCAGTTATTAATTAGGTCATCTTTAGGACAGACCTCCAGGGTCGATTATCCTCTCTAGAGGTGAGGAAGCGAGGCTCAGAGAGGCTAAGTGACTTGCCCAAGGTCACACAGCAACGAAGAGAGGCAGGGCCTGGATTCTGGCAGACATCTGTCTGTGGAGAAGGAGTTAACAGTTGGAAGGAGAAGAGGGGAAGTGGCTTGAGGATTAGGGTAGGAGTATTAGGTCAGAAAACTGATGTGGCCAGGAAATGGGGTCCTCTGCCTCTGGAGGATGTAGGGGAAGGAGGGGTGGGTCCCTGCCACAAGGGCTTCCTGAGGTGTA